CTCTCTCTACTCTCTCTCTCTCTCTCTCTCTCTCTCTCTCTCTCTCTCTCTCTCTCTCTCTCTCTGAGAATAAGAATTGCCGCGATAATATTTTTCTACGGTTAGGTGGATTATATGCAGTTTTTTGTAATTGCATTCTCGAATTAATTGAGTACGTTTTCGAAGTGTATACGACGACACGAATGCATTTTGCATTTCGAGTAAAGAAAACTCTCGGTTTCAGTAGTTGCGTAATTAATTAATTATCTTATGCTGAAAAAAAAGCGTTGTAAATATAAACTCGTAGCAAAACGATATAAACTTTTTTAAAGTAATATAAAAATGTATTAGGCGCATTTTCTTTTTAAGGCCGCTAATTTTTAATGTAAATTAATAACTAATCGATCAATTTGGGAGGAAATGGCTGTTCACAACACGCATTTCCGTTTCTATTCCGAATCCAGAGTATTCTAACCTATCTTATATATACGATACAAAAATTTTCTATATTTCTCTCAATTCATAAATGTAATCTCGTAATTTCGAATATACGAATAAGCTAGACACACTGCACACACTTTTTAAGATATTTCACCTTCCAATCTTGAATAATTTTTACGAATTCGTACGTTCAGCTTATATGCAATTCTTCCATTGTCGTGTAGCGTGCGATGTCAGGATTGCCAACAAAACGAGGCGGAGATAGTCGCACAGTGGAACGATCCACTCGCATTAATTAAAATCCGCGCGAATTCGTACAGAAAGGAAATACGTACAATCTGAAATATATGGAGTAGTATGGACGAGGTAGGAAGAAGCAACAGAAGAAAACAGGCGAAAACACAAACACTGAGGATACTTATCGCGAGCATTCCGCTCACGTGCCTCGAATCACTGCTTTTCCACGCTTTCGATGCGATATTTCCTTAACCCTCCGTCCCCCTTCCCTTTCTCTCCCTCCTTTTTCACCAGTTTCGAGCGGAGGATCGGCGTGGGTGTGCAGACAGGCCGGCCAAAGAATTCGTCGCACGTCGTGTCGCAGACAGGCTTGCTAGGCTTTTCAGGAAACGCATTTGCACATTTGAGGAGGAGGGACGACGAAGGGAGCCGGCCAGGTGGTTTGATAAAGAAAACGTGGTGGAGGGCGACGGATCAACGCTGCCTGTCATCGAACAGACAGCAGGGTACACTGAGAGAAGCCCGTTCCTCTTCCTTACGCATCGCCGCCAACCGAGCACTTTCCCGACGGTTGGGGATTTTTGCTCCCGAACGTTTCCTCTTTCTTGTCTCCTCACGGATCGAAAAATCTCTGGTAGACGATACCTCTTTCCCGTCTCTGCTTTCCTTTTTTTTTTTTTACTTTTAACTTTCGGGCACAGGCAGCAGAGGAAAATGTAATTTAATTCGATTTGAATAGAAGTTACTCACTGGATAATTTATCGTTCGATGCGTAATAATATACGCTGTCCGGAAAGTAGTTTCGTTTCTTCACGCGAGCGTCGCGAGAGTCGAACAGTTTATCCAGCCAACTTCGTTCTAAACCCACCGTGTTGTTGTTATTATATATCTCGAGAGCTGGCATTTCGTGGTTTATTTGTAAGAAAAATTCGTTTGATTCTGTGCGCTGTTTCGTGTGCGTGATAAGAAAGATCAAAGATCGAATCGAACGAGCATTTTCGGCGTATTTTGCTTTTTTATTACCGAAAAAAGGTGAGAATTTCGTTCAGGCAAGAAAGTTAGTTTTTAAAATTTCGTTCCGATAATTTCGACATTGAAGACGCGCCACGTTCTGGAAGACCAGTTGAAGCTGATTGAAGATTGAATTTATCGAATTGTTCGTGATCACATCACTTGATGTTTCAATGTCATGAAAAAAAATTTTAAGTAACTTTATTCGAAATTTTTAACCAGCCACTATTTCAACTTCTGATTGTTTATATCATGTGAAAGATCAGATATTGAGGCTTAGGCCTTCTGTTCAAAAAGTAATATCCCTTACATTCAAGACTAGAACAGACTTACATTAAATTCTAATGTCATTCGCTACAATTCTCTTTGAACGACAAATTATCCAAGCAGTTTTGTTCTCAAATTCTTCAAATTTCATCACGTTGCAACAACAGCCACAACAAACTATGTGTTGAGTTCATATCTTGTATACTTATCTGCGAATTAGTTACGGTTCTGTTTTCGTTCCTCTTTTATGCAACACATCTTTCTGTCACTTTTACTCGAATCCCTTCACAACCAATTCCCCAATGAACTAAGAAGAAACCGATCACTTCGTAATCCGGTCGAAAGTTATGCGGAAAGCTTATTCGACTAGCTTCGTTCTCGACTTCAAATTCGTTCGAATTTCATCACTCGTCAGCTTACAACCAAACCAAAGATACAAAATTGCTACCGAAACAGGGAGTCGGGGAAGAGGAGAAGTGGTGGGAGAAAGAAGAGACCGAGCGTGGTCAACTCGCGATACCAATTCACCAATCCGGTCGAACCTGTTCAGGAAGCGTGGCGCACGGGAGGCGAGGAAGGAGGGAGGGTTGGGGAGGTGAAAAAGTACCGCGAGCGCGGAGATTAGTATCTTAGCGGATGTGTATCGACCCGATACACGACGGAGAGGCACGTGTACCGCGAAATTGCAATTGCCCAGGTCGTGCGCACCGCCTTATCTCACCGTCGCCTTCACTCCGCTTCCTTCCTGATTTTCATCTACCGTCCACGCCCGACCTTCTAATTAATGAGGAATTACCGCGTCCACCTCGAGCCGATAAGAATCGCACCAACCACCGCGCGTCTATATTCTCGATCGGAATTTACATTCGATGTCGTCGAGAACGTTATCTCAAAATTAATTTTATCCCGTGGATGGTGAAAAAGTTAGGTTAGGTCAGTTTAAGTTCGAATACAGTTCAAAGATCATAGCCATATTTTTTTAGAAGAAAGATAAAAAAAAAAAAAAAGAAAAGGCATCGGAATGTCTTTCCAACGATTGCATATTTATCGTAGAAACGTGGCGGCAATTTTTTCTCGAATATCTCGAAAGCCGCAAAAACGATAACGCGTACGGAGAAAAATTGTTCGGAAACTGTTGTTCGTCGCTCGAGAACATATTTCAAAACCGAGGAGAGAGAAATCCTCTGTTGAATAACTACTCCGCTGCTACCTTCTCTTCCTAAAAAAAAGAAAAAGAAAATTTAAACAAGTAGAACACGATCGTCTCCCCCATCATCGTGCATCGCCACTTCCGCCGCAACGAATGTATCCATCCATCTCGAATGCCAATATAGCGCCGCGTCGCTCACACGGAACACAAGCTCAAGGATCAACGAATCGAACAGAGGCCACGATAGATTTACCTCCGCGTATTCCTCGATCGAATACAAACCGTTCCTTTTCCATATAACCGCCGGTATCACGAGCCGTTCACGTGGAAATCAGATCATCCTCCCTCCCCAACAATCTTGGCCCGAGTATCGAAGAAAAAGGAGAAGCTGTTTTTGCTCGAATTTATTCGCGACAGTCGCTGTCCCATTGTCTGATCTCTCTCCCTCTTTCGTTTCCAGCTTCATCAGCGCGATTCAGCATTCGCAACCGTGGAAGAAAATGGCGGTGATGGTGGTCGAGATGGAATTAAGAATCTAAGAATCTTCCATCATTTTTGGATAGAAACTCGAAATTTCTACTCGATATTCGATCGAATCGTATCTGGCCCATCATCCCCTTCTCTAGCTCGTTTCAATCCCCGTGTTAATCTGTGCGACGAGCGTAGACGATAAACGTGGGGCGGGGGAATGGAGAGGAAGGGAGGGGGAAATGGGGCTTTTGTGCGAAACGATTGGAAAAGAGGCGCTCGGTTGGGTGGGGCGAGGAATTTTCTTCCTAATCGTTCGGTTACGGCCGACCTCCTCCGGGACGATCGAGTAGTATTGTAACCGCTTTACACCGAATACACCGTAATATCGCGCTAGTATTTCTTGGCTTCTTAATTTTATCGGGCGTTAACGTTAAAATCGTATATATAATCGATCGATATTTTTAACCGTATTAGCGTTAATATTGTCGCGCTACGTATAGTCCCTAACGGCTATTATCGTCGTTACCCGCTATATCGTGTTATACCGCGTAATTTCGATATAATCTGGTACCGTTCGAGAGCGTCGTATTATCGAACGTGACACGTGTAATGAAAGAACAACCTCAAAATTTCAACGTCCCGCCCTCTGGATTGGTCGGTCGGTCGGTCGATCGATCGATATCGCGAAGCAGAAAGAAAGAAAGAAAGGAAGGAAGAAGAAAAAAAGTGAAAAAATCGATGGAAACTATGGTATGGAATAAATCGCGTTCGTTGCGCGGGGAATAATTCATGCTGGTGTCCCGATCCTGATAAATAGAAAGCGACAAGCGGCGAAAATCATGCGGGGGAGAGTGCATTAGCGAGGGAAAATCCGGCGAAACAAGAGGGAAGGCTATGTACAGGGTGATTTTCTCGCCAATAGAGTCTAAAGAGAGTGTCATCGCTTCGAAACATGGCGTGTCAACGCTTCTATAACAGTTTTCATCGTTGTCGATCGCGCAACCATCGATAGATTAATCGTTCTAACCTCGTCGAGGAATCACTCCAACGATTGAAAATGAGAATTTCATCGTTGCTACACTTGGAAAACAGTATCACTTTTGAAACGAGAAAGTTTACGCAGGTCTAAAAATTTCTATATATATTCATTATCGATCGACAATTTTAACTTCTTTATCGACAGATCACTCTATATACAAAATTCGTTAGACATTTCATCGTTGCTACACTTAGGAAACAGTATTACTTTTGAAACGAGAGAACAATTTTAACTTTTTTATCGACAGATCTAATGTACAAAAATAGGGATTTCGACAGAGAGAGCTACACAGGATAATACTCTTTTCGAACACAGAAAGAATAAGAAACAATAACGAGAACTCTACTCTAAATCTTCGTCGAGCAACCACCATGATTAGAATTGACCAATATTCGATTTCTCATCGCGCGAAAAATAATAATTCGTATCGGTTTTATTTAAAAGCCACCCTATATAACTCGCGTCTCCACTACTCCTCAACTACTCGTTCCCCGACTTTTCCTCGAGGTTTCACGCTTATCCGGATCCGCTTTCAACGGGCGCCGCCTCTCTCTCCACGAGGGGGATAGAAAGCCAGCCTCGAGCCATACCCCGTTTTCCGCTCGAGAACCAACGAGAGAGGACTAGCGGCGATCCCAGGACGAGAGCGGCCCGTATGTCCTCCTTGCTGTTTGCTCTCGCGCGTTCTTCGATACGTCGCCTCCCGCGTCTCTGTTTTACCGTTCCTCTTGTTTACCAGCCACAAAGGAAGGCTCGGTGAAGGGGGCGACGGCCGGCTGACAACGTGTTCTCTGAATAGATTAGAACGCGGGCAGGGATACGTTGGAAATTTTCGCCGTCAGGAGGCGGTGCTAAAAGCCTCCGTGTATTTTTTATTTATTTATTTTTTACAAGACCTCCCTTTTACTTTCACAAGACTTTTTATTATCGCGTAAAGGAATAAATGGAAGGACAAAATTTAACAGACTCGCAAACGATTTATATATATAAATTATAACGTTATAAAATTTTTATATTTTAATATTCTACGTATCTTTACGCAGAGAGAGAAAGAAAATTTGCCGAATATTGAACGCCTCGACTCTATCTTTTCTTTCCTCTTCGAAAATAACGAGAAATCAAACCTAATCCAATTACCATTCCACGCTATACGAAGACTGGAAACACTTTGAAAATAATATTTTTATCGTCACGACTTACACGGTTTACACTTGCTCCGCCACCACGTGGTCCATTGCCACGATATTTCTCTCGTAAAAGGAGGAGCAAACGAGGAATTTGTCGTAACGAGGTGGGAAAAAGAGAGAGAGAGAGAGAGAACTAAGAGGAGACGAGGGTGATAAAGGGTGCGAAGCGATGGAGGAAAAAGGGAAGAAGGAAGAGGATGTTCGTAAGGGATGCTTCGCGGGACCGGCTAATGGAATATCCTTGTAAAACGTGGGCGGGGAGGGAGGGAGGGATAAAGTCACCTGAGCACGAGAGAATTTCGAAATTCTAATACCGTCCGTGAAAAAACTCGGCCCAGGGATTTCGATCAACCCACTCCTCCCCGGTGGTTAATCCGGGAATTTGTACGTTTTAACCTGGTCCCCCGGGATAAATCTGAACAGCCGACGGGGAAAGGTGGAATCCGGTTAGATTTCCGCGATTTCGTGCACGATTTTCGCACGATTCAAAATTTAATTATCATTCCTGTACAGGATGAGTGAAGATCCTTCTTGACGATACACTATTATAGTAAAAGAGTAGAAGTTTATTATAGTTATAAGTAGTTATAATAATAGAAGAGTAAAAGGTATTTTCTTATTCGTCGTATAATTCGTCCAATTACTGTCTTGAGTAGTTCAAAAAAAAATTACGTTGCAAATCGTAATTAATACTACTCATATTAACAAGAGATAAAAAAAATTTTATGTGGCAAACGATAGAAACAAAAAAAAGCGAACAGTGGACGTATCGTAGCTTTTAAATCAGTCGTGTGAAAAGTTACTGGCCTTGAAAAGAAGGTACACTTGATATATTTTCACGATAGCTACCTTTAAGAAAATTTACGTATATATTGTCATTGTTTTGCTAATCATTAAACCGAGAAATTTCTTTACTATTGTATACTAACGCACTAGTTTTCAACCTTTTTTCCGTCACACTTTTAATAATTTAAAAATTCGGCGGCACACTAAGATACAAGATAAGATAAATCAAAAGAAGAATTTTATTTTGGTTTACGTGAACAGGTATTCGCAGTGGGCCAGGCTTCCTTTCAGGAAGGAGCTAATTTTATACGTATAATGTTACCATCTCTTCGATTCGAGTGATCATATAAACATTTGTAGCGTCGATCGATAAACAAATGTAAAAACAAATAAATAATTTTCACTTCGGGAGGCCACTCACACTAAAGTTGAGAACCACTGCATCGAGCTTTCCATCTTAGGTTATACGCGACAAATGTACAAAATATCCAACAACATCCTAATCCCAATCCTGATCCTGAAATTATAATCGACTTTCCTCGCCGACGAGCTCGTTGGACAAATTCAAGCGAAGTTTTTCCTTTTTTTCTCTCTCTCTCTCTCGATTGCTCTCCCTCGTGTTAATCGACGGTGACCGGTGTTTCGAGTGGGATGCTCGAATGGAGGAGTTCTTTTTTCGTCCGTGGCGCGCGCCACTTGCGGCTTCCCCTTCCACGCCGACGGTTTCCGATATTTGGAGGAGTTGGTGGCGGCGTTGGGGGGACAGGGAGGGAAGGATCGTATTGTTTGGAAAGGAACGGACGGCCGCGGTGTTTATACGAGCCGGCTGTGCATCCCGTTAAACGTGTTGTGTCGACCAGCGACCGTTGATCGAGAGCGGTTTCCAACGCGCGGCAAGAAACGGGATTGGATGGCGTTTTAGTGTCAAGGTCATCGTCGCGGCACGAGCAGCTTCGTTTCACCGACACAGGTCGTTATTATTGTTGCTGATTCAAGATCAAGTTCAAGAATCGAATTTTTGAAATTGAATTGTTTTTACGATAATCGTTCTTGACTTGAAAATAATTATTAAATACTCGGGTCTCGTAGATTTAGTTTTTGCTTGAATTTTTATCACGCTGCGTTACTTTTTCATTCTTGCTTTTCAGTAGCTAGTATTTTATTAGTTATTTCGTAACCGTGAAAATGGCAAGTACGAAAGAGTTTCCTGTGGAAGGAAATTTATTTACGAATCTAAGAGAACTCTGATGAAAAAAAGTGATGAAGAAAAACAGAAAACAAGATATATATATATATATGTCAATTCTGTCAGGCTTCACTTCACGAGGAAGTATCACACTCGTAAGAACTGGACGTATAAATAAATAACTTTGTAAAATTTTATCAGAATAGATTCGATCGTTCTTCGACCAGATTCACTCTATAATATGATATTTCGTTCCGTGCTGTGATGGTCGTGATGGTTGAGTTATTCCCTTACGTCGCTATTATTCTACGAAAAAAAAAAAGAAAAAAAAAACATAAAAATCTGGATCGTCGCCGAGTGTATTTCACGTTAAACGATAGCGGCAATTAAAGGATTTATGGGTATGGCGGGGGAGGCAACAAATTGGACGGCGAAGAAGAGTTTATTAGGAAGGTTGGCCGCTTTGACGGATCGGCCGAGCGATAAACACGTGGCTTAAATATCGATTTTTAATTAGGCGTATCCCGTTGTCCTCCCGGATAGAGAACGCATCACCGAACCACGATCGAGGAAAACCAAAACTTCTCTCGTAATCGATTTCCAAAGAAGAGAAAAAGCGTTACACTTGAATCATCAATTTTTATTCCTTTTTTCATATTCCATCCAAATGAAAACATTCGTCGTAATATATTACGAGTTAACTCGTTAAATTTTATCCCTTGATCGATGAAAATCTATATAATATGTGTACGTATATTTTGATTTTTCAAATTTGTTATTTTACATACACACGTTTAAGCAGAAACTAAAAGAAAACTAACGCAAATATATATATATAGTAATAAAATGTAGTATACGAATTAAAGAAAACGTAATGCAATTATCGAGAGAATGAACAGACGCGACGAATGGATCGATTAAACGTATCTACAAATCTAAGCTTGGTAGCTTTATCGAGTCTTAAACCTGCACACGTAAATAGAACACTCGATGAACGATTTCTCTCTCCCTCTCTTGTCGTATTCCCTGTAAATTTAACGTGGAGAATATGAAAACTGTCGCGTATAGATCAAACGTCTGTTTCGAGAGTCGTCGTCGAAGGCGGTTAATAGAAACTCGCCCGAAGCGCGATTTCCACGCATCGTCGATTCTCGCTCGGCATCCGTCGGCCGGAAGGAGAGGGGAAAAAGGAAAGAAAAAACCGGAGAGAGGAGAGAGAAGAAAGCTGTTCCGTTCGAAAAGCTGTTCGCGAGGTCAAAGGTTGTCCATTCGAAAGGACGCGACCTTCGATACGGTTTCGAAAGATGATCGCATCCGAAAGTAACGAGGCGATGCGACGGGTGGAAAAAGGAGGAGGAACGACTGATGTGGTGGGGGAAGAGCCCCACCTTCCTTCCGCCTGCTCCCCTCCCCACGTTGATTGCTTCATCGCGGTCCACGGATCAAACGGATCGGGAATTGAAACGCAGCTTGGCGTTACTTAGATTAGCTTTGTGGCCGCGGAGAAACACAGGGACGCTCGAGCGGGCCGCGTGATTGGAACCGCTCGCTCGAATCCTCGATCGAGACGGGATTCTCTCGATTTATTGCTCTCTGCTCGCTGGATTTTTCGAGTCGATTGTATACGTGCCGATGAAGGTGGAGGACGACGGCTCGTTGAAGATGGTCTTCTCATCTATCGTTCGATAGATCCTTATTCCATTTTTCGTGGAAAAATCTGCATCGTATTTTTGTCCAGAAGAATTGTTGTTTCTCTCGTTTCGAAACTGTTATTTCGACCAAGAAACTCTTCTCCAGCGAATATTTTATTTTCTAAAAACAATTGGCTGATGGAGAAACGAGTGATGAATAGAATTACCTCGATTCAGAAAAGAATCCCTTCACGTGACTATGGTTCAAGATATTCATCAACGTTATAATATTCTACTCAAAAATAAAAACTTGTACCGTTTCGAGCTCTTTCCAAATTCTTTCACTTCACTCAAACGTCTGAAAGCTGTCACTCGAGATACGTCTAACTACTTCACCTTTCGATTCATCTTCTTCAAAATTTTCTTTAACTTAATATTTCGAGCCTGCTTTAAACTCAGCAAAGAAACAATATTATAAATTTGCACCTCCTCTGCTAATGGCAACAATGCTTATAACATAACGAAAATATCGATCCCCTACTTCAATACGGATCTAAAAAATTTGTGAAATATCGTTGGTGGTCGAAATCGAAGTTTCGAGGGGAGGGGCGGTGGGGAGGAGGATACGGATAGCGAGAGAATCGGGAGAAGTTTTCGAGCTTCTGGGGAGTGTCAGACGGGGAGCACGAGAGAGTGTGAGGTGCACAGTGTCGGAAAGTGGAGAGATACGTCTGAAGCATGCGGGGAGAAATGGAGGAAACGTTTCCATTCGAAATAAAACCTTGGCGGGGATACAACGTTATGGTGTCGCGGCGAGTGTTACGTCGAATCAATGTCTTTTTCGTGTCGCAAGCGTGCGAATATACATTTATCATCTCCCACTTTATATCCATCTTCGCTCGACAGGATCGCGATATCGACTCGAAATCATCTTTTTCCAACCGAAGAATTTTATATAATTTCGAAATTATTAATTTCTCTCCAAGTAAAATTGGCCATTTTTGTGGGATACAAAAGTCCAATCTACATTCATTCCATAAATAATATATATTGGGCGTGCAACTTTTGACCGAATTCGAATTACTTTACCATTCGTGGCGCCATCTGAGAGAGCGTTCTCTTTTCGCTTTGTCTCGTGCAACAATTTCAAGCAAAATGGCGTGCGAGAAGCGTCGCTTTTCGCGTTCCAGCTTAGGAGATTGGCTGTCCAAGCTACCGAAATGGTTTGTGCGCGCCACTGATTCGACGAAAATCCGACCGAGACGCGAGAAGAATCAGCAGAAACAATCGAATAATTTTGTATCCGATTTACATAACAAAATCTTGAATTTGGAAAAAAAAAAGAAAACAAAAGGAGAAAAGAACTTATTTGCACGCTCGAAAAAATTAATCAGAATTTCGAATAAAGCTGCTCTTAAAAGGCCATGATCCACACCTGGATCCACAACCGCCATTCCACTCTTCTCCGCAGCGCGGCGCCACTGAAGAGCGAGAGAGGATCCTTCTTGCCTCGTAGGAGGGTCGAAAGGTTCGAAAGGTTATCCGGGAGAACGTGGCGTACGTACAACACGTACCAGGTCGACCCTTGAAATTGTCCCCGGGGACGCGTGACCTTCGACTCTCGTTCGTGGCGGAAACGAACGAAGCGGCACGCCTAATTGCCCGACATAAATTTCGCTCGTTCGCTCGCGAAAATTTCGTCGTTCGATTCTTAGAGTTGGAAGAATTTTTCATTTTCGTATTCTCCCTTTTCATTTTTTTTTTTTTTTTTAAATTCAATCTTCGAGCTCATTCGATCGATTTATTAATCGCACTCGGTATTTTCGCATTAACGAGAATTTACCGGTAGAGGGGGAAGGGTAACGAGTCAGACGCTGGAGATTGGACTCTTCCAGCGAAGTTTAATCGCAGGGAGCCGATGATTAATTGCAATTAGCGCTTCGTTACGGGACGGACGTTAAAATCTAAGAGAAGAAATTTCAAACTTCTTCCCTTCCCACAGAAATTCACCGGCTACTATATTTATCCAACCCGTTTATCGACGAGTAAATTTCTCGTGATTGTAAGATTGTAACGAGTTATAAGAAAGAGATTATTAATCTTGTGTTGCGTCTTTCCTCCTTTTATCTTTCAAGATTTCATTACGTTGAACGCGAAAAGTAAGCGGCGACGCGAACAACGCTTCTCGCACGTCACATCGCTCGAAATGGTTGCACAGGACTGGAAATTCTTACAGCGCTCGTCGCGACTCTTCTTAAAAACAAAAGCTCTTTCAGATGGCGCCACGAGCGGGAAGTAACTCGAACTCGGTCAGAAGTTACGATCGTAGGAAAGGAAGGGGAAGAAACTTATTTGCGCGCCTAATAAATTATCCTATATTTTCTCTATATATTTTTTTAATTAATCAATTAACGATCGATTCGTTCCTCGCTCGAATCCTGCTTTTCCTCCTCGAGGCGTTTAACGCTTTCTCGAAACCCGGCTATTTGAAACGATACTCGACGACTCCTGTTCGGAAAATTACGAAAACCGAGCGAGATCGTGGAGAGAGAATAAGTTTCGTTCGTAAGACCACGGACAAATTACTTGCGCGGCTGAATAATAATTGACAAGAACGAGCCTCGTCTTCCTTCTTCTTCCTCTTCTTCTTCGTGTCCGTGATGGCAATCTCGATCTCTCCTTCTCTCTCGCACTTTCTCGAGCCGGCTCGCTTCGTCTGCTTCATTCGTAATAACTTTTGGCGAAATTACGTTTGACCCGAGATTTCGTCGTTTCGAGCCAGAGATTCGCCTCGCTCGTAATTTCGAGCGACCTAAGTGGCGGGCATTAAGAAACGTGGTATTTAAGAGGGGGGAGGGAGAAAGGAGACTTTTGGAAGTCGAGAAAATGGCGGAAATTTCGCAAATTTATATTTAACTTTATACTACAACGAATCCTTTGCTTACGAATTTGCAATTTAGAATTATTGTTATTACTTTTTTTCCCCTCTCTTTTCGAAAACGTAACGTAATTACTTTTCCACGAATCAGAGATATTTATTTATCGATTTATCTCTCTCTCCTCTTGACGAAAAGATACGATTCTAAATTCACAGATCCAACATTTCGAACTTTCGTTCAATGATTTAAAACTTAAGTAAAGATCACTCGTTTTCGAGCTCGTTTTTCTCAATTTTCTCAAAACTCGAATCGAAGTGAATGTTCCACGACGAGGTGACGGCGAGTTTCGAGACTCGATATTTCGGCCAAGCGAATCGATCGACGAATGAAAGCGAATTATTTGATGGAACGAGGAGGAGAAGGATAAAAGTTCGAGCGATTCTCGAGCGATCGAAAATACGATTATTACGATTGAAAACTTTATATCCGTTCGTTTTTTTTTCTTTTTTTTTTTTTTTTTTCTTTTTTCGTTACAACACCTACCTCTCCGCTCTTAATAATTATCCTCCACCGCGGAAATTCGACGACCGCCGTTTTTGCGCTCGGCAGCGGTGTTTCGAATTTTGTTCGAGATTTTGTGTGAATCGGTCGATCTTTTTTTCCACCGCGCGACGATTGAATCGAGCCTCTCGTATCTCCGTTTCATTGACGGGTGAAAAAATAACATCGTTGCAACGTTGAATCCGGTTATTACGTCGAAATGCAGATCGCCTCGTGAAATCAAGAATAATCGAATTGGAGGGAAATTCATTTTTGAAATTGTAATTGTTTCGATGTAATGCATGATGATTATAAGTTCTTTGAGACCTTTTCTTCGAACGTTTTTATATACGATCGAACAAAATGGGAAATATTCTGTAAATTCGTTAAGAGGCATTTAAGTTTCAATTTTGTAATATAATATCTCGTGACACGACTGTTTTTGATCTAAAATCGTTGAAAAATTGAATCGATAAGTTCTTTTTCACTTGTTAAAATTAATTTTAAACTTGAACTAATGATTTGTCAATGATTTTTTGTACGTTCTCCACGCGAATAAAAGTTGTGCTTCTTTTTATCGCCATATTCGATTTGCGAAACTATATTAATGATTAGCCATTAATATTTATTTGGATTAATTTTAACCTTACATTATATACGTCTAATGATATTATTAACAATAATATTCTTAACTTTAGCTGGAAATTTTGTCACTCCTTTCGATCCTTCATTTTATAATTTTCAATTTTATCGTTTTTTTTTTTTTTGTTATTTCGTTAAATTCATCACTTTTTGGAGAATAATTTATAGGAGAAAATCTCGTAACAAATAACTATACCTTCTTTTTTCATATTTTTTTCTTATCTTTGGAATATCATTTCCAATTCTCGAAATTCGAAGTTCGCTTTCTAAGTCATAGGGTTCAAATTCAAAATAGTGAATAAAGCTGGCACAAATTTTAAGTTTAATTCTTGTTACTTTTATTATTTAAATATTTATTGATCCCTTTTCTACTTTGTTATTATATTTTTCTATATATCTACCTGTTTTCTTTTTTAATTCTTTTTTACAAACAAATTATGATAAATTTATAATGTTTTCCAAACACTGAATCTTCCCTCAAAATCGAAGGGAAAAATAATCTTTATTCCAATTATATTTTTAATATATCGATTAGTCGTGTTTTTCATTTTTCATTTTACACTAATTAAACACAATTAATTGATTCTTTTTTAATAAATAATGACAAATTTGTCGTTTTCCTTTCACGTCAAGCTCAAAATCGAAGGGAAAAAAAAAGTAATCTTGTCGAATTAACCTCAATCGTTCAAATCACTGTGGCTTATCTT